CATTGCTTGTACATTCAAATGAACTGAACAAATGATTATTTCACATAACATGGAGTCAGATAATGTAATACTTTATTTTCAAGATCATTCTTAAAAAAATTTCTTAAATTCTAATCCTGTCTTCGAACTCAGGATCTAATGGTACCTTTAAAATGAAAAGATTAGATACGGTACTACGCTGCTGCTAGTAACTTCTACTGCGCACGCCCCAAAAATCCCACGATGTGCCCATCACTGATCACAGATCGGGACGCTAGTAACTCCTCGGGCCACCGGCAGATAGGTATCATGTTCGCGTTCTCGCAAAGCCCGATGGCTCGACGTGGAAGGGGCTCCGGCCCATGGCCCGCCTTTTGCCGTTATCTGCTGTCATACTCAGCTCTTCAATTGTGATAATTTAAAGTAATGGGATCGTAGAAATGTATGCTGAATTTTCTCAATTGCATATATATGAGTTTTTTAATATGAGAAACAAATAGTGGAGTAATACACTGAAGTTAGTTTAATGAGAGAACAAAGTATTTTCTAAATGTTGAAATTATTAAAAAAGACTTTGTAAATGAAACCCATAGATTTATGAAGAGAAGAAATAATAAAATTATAATAATCATTGAAACTAAGATCTGTTGGAAAAATAAATCCAAGGACTTATATAGGTGCACACAGTTTCCACAGGATTGCCTAGAAGGTAAAAGGTTTTCGTAAAATTGTACGAGTCTTTAACCCTTTCGCTATGGCAAGTACTACGGCAGTCCGCTCCGTCGGAGTAGTTCCACTGAACGGCAGTCCGCTCAACGCCGTAAAGTGTGCACATTGCACGGAGCGCAAGAACATTTTATAAAGTAAAGCTCCAAACAAATTTTCATATAAATGTTTCTAACCTGTTATACTTTTAGTAGGATCAATACAGGATGTCCCAGAACTAGTAGTACATTTCTTAATGGGAAGTTCCTGAGATGATTTTCAACAATATTTTCCTTTGTCAAAATGTTATCCGAGGCGTGATCGTTGAATAATTAACGATGATCCCTGACCAATTAGAACGCTCGTATAGCGGGGGGCCAGGAGTGCGCCGATTGCCTTGGACGTCGCTGTGCCCATACGTCGCGCTCGTGACGAGAGCAAAGAATTAAAGAAAAGTTGCATACAAGGATGAACTAACAAATTGGTTAAATGTCACAGGAAAGAAAGCGATTAGTCGTTACTTACGTTCACTGAACAAATGTAACATACTCAATAAAATAACTAACAACTTTACAAATTACAGAGTAGGTAAAATTATTAAAAATGCGAAAAGAATCAGAATTGGACGTACTCCTTTGTTAGCAAGTGCACCTGCTCATAGAAAAACTTCAGTGGGTCACATAATGGGATATGTGTTTCTATCTTCGAGTGCCGAAGGTTGACCCACTGAAGTCATTTCTATGAGCAGGTGCACTTGCTAACAAAGAAGTAAGTCCAATTCTGATTCTTTTCGCATTTTTAATAATTTTACCTACTCTGTAATTTGTAAAGTTGTTAGTTATTTTATTGAGTATGTTACATTTGTTCAGTGAACGTAAGTAACGACTAATCGCTTTCTTTCCTGTGACATTTAACCAATTTGTTAGTTCATCCTTGTATGCAACTTTTCTTTAATTCTTTGCTCTCGTCACGAGCGCGACGTATGGGCACAGCGACGTCCAAGGCAATCGGCGCACTCCTGGCCCCCCGCTATACGAACGTCCTAATTGGTCAGGGATCATCGTTAATAATTAAACGATCACGCGTCGGATAACATTTTGACAAAGGAAAATATTGTTTAAAATCATCTCAGGAACTTCCCATTAAGAAATGTACCACTAGTTCTGGGACACTATGTATAATACGGGTCAACAGAATAAAGGGATGCTCTACAGGGTGTCCCAGAAAAAGTGTTAGAGGCGACGGGAAGTGATTCTATAAGTGTTTCTAAACAACAACTTCCTTTGCCAAAATGCAAAGTGAGGCATGGGTTTTGAATTATTAACGAAAAACACTGACCAACGAGAATACCCATAGGGCCCGCGTCCAGCCGCAGGTACGTTGGCTCGGATCGTGACGCTCGGCCGTTGGTCAGCGGAGGCCCTACGCGTGCTCTCATTGGTCAATGTTTTTAGTTAATAATTCAAAAACCATGGCTCACTTTGCATTTTGCCAAAGGAAATTGTTGTTAGAAACACCTCCAGAATCACTCCTTTTCGGCTCTAATACTTTTTCTGGGACACCCTGTATATGTACAGCATAATACTGCCGCTTAAAATAATCGACGCTTGTATACACAACTCGTCAGAAAAGCCAGTTTAGAGTTGCCAGAAAAGCGCCTTATGCTTCCCTTAACCTACACCCAAGGGTCTCGTAATTTATCCCACCGCCGGAAAGTGGGGACGACGCGACCATGGTGGGGATCAATAGTTGGTGGGGATATGCAGTGATTTTCACGGTAGCGCTGCGGAGAGCTTCGCGAACGCGCATGAGCACGCATGAGAGGAATAATAGTGGGGATCGAAATACGGGTGAAAAGCAGGGGAAGCGAGCCTCGTGGGATAAATTACGAGACCCCTGCCTACACCTTCTACCAACATATTAGTTTGATTCTCCTTGACACTCCTTCAGCAGGCGACCCCCATTGCTAAGTCGCTGCTAAGTCGACTGGCATGTGACGCGCCTGACACTAAAAATAAGTGCAGAATACTTTGCTATTATCGCATAAGAAACTTTTTGGAAATTTCCTTTGCAAAAGTTATTTACAATACGTAAAGAAAAGTGGAAAATATGTGAAATATTCATGAAATATAAAAGTAAAGGAATATTACTGCAATATTCATCCTTTTTGTTGTTATTTTCATTACTTTACTTATGTATTTCATGAGTATTGCACTTATTTTTCACTTTCCTTTACGCACTGTCAATGACTCTTTGAAAGGAAATTTCAAAAAGTTTTTATTAATCTGCGATAATAGCAAGGTGTTCTGATCTTATTCTTATCGACGGGCGCGCTCATGTGACTCATTTTTAGCCACAGTCACGTGACAGTCGTTCTAGCAGCGATAGTGGTGGTCGTTTAGAGAACAGTCGAAGAGAGTCAAACTAACATGATGGTAGAAGGGGTAGGTAGGGGAAGCGTAACGAAGCCTGACGACCGTTGAATTCTTATGTTGAATAACAAAATGTTGATCTCATTTGTGAAAAAACAGGAAAAAACAATGACAGAATTTGTAATTTTGTATTATTCTTGATACCTATTCTGAAAATATTTAAAAAATGAGATATTATTATCAACTTCGAAGATAATATTTAAAAAATGAGATATTATTATCAACTTCGAAGATAATATTTAAAATAGACAATATTTTTATTGTTAGGATAGTTACGAAGTTAAGGATTGTAGTATTTGTGGACAATGTAAACAGCTGCAAATTAGGTACAATCTTATCAAAGAGTGCCAAAACTGTGTATCAGAATATTACAAATTAGATTACAAATTGCCTGTGACTTAAAGAAACATGATGAACAATTTTATGAACCTCACTTCACTGTAACTATCATTCTTTCTAAAAGATTATTGATTAACGTATCCGGGATAACTTTTTATTTAGGGTTCAATATGAGAGCACTCTAGATTTAACATAAATAGGTTTCGAGTAAACATTATTATGTTTTAACATTTGTAGTCTATCAATAAGAAAACAATTTAACCTCGCTAATAGACTCCCATCAATACGTAAGCAAGAAATCCGGAGTGACTGTGTCAGAAGTTTTGCGAAAATCAGTAGCATCCACTTGCATATCCTTTATTATGAGTGCTATTAATTCCTTGTCAGTTTATTTAATTATTATCAACAAATACTTACATTGCATCGTACTCATTACAATATTAAATACAAATAATTATTTGTATGACTTGCAGCGAGTTCTGTTATTCGAATGATGTCGCACGCCCTGACGGAAGCGGTTTTCCATAGAGGCTTGCAAATCTATTTGACAAAACAGTACGTATACCTTTATTCGCATGTAAAACAATCTCTATCGACATACAATAGAAAAACAAATATTTGTTTGCCCGGAATGTTCCAATTTTTGATAGTTGGATTAGAGCATATCTGAATATAAATGGCGTGTATACATTCTAAAATGATACTTCAGGCATTTATAGAGAAAGTCATTATTCAGTGAAGTTATGCCAATATTTAATAAAGTGAGTGTTACAAAGTAAAACAAAAGTCGTACAGAGCGCTCCGTAATGTACCTTAAACTGAACATGAAAACGAATTTTTTCTTGATTATCTCAAGAATAGGTACGTAGTATCAAATGGCACATACGTAAATTTTACACTATTTTTAAGGATAGAGTTTTCAATTTGCATGAAAATCTATAGTAAAATATCACTATATAATTCAATAAATCAATAAATGTATATCAAAATTTGAATGTGCAGCCTTTAAATTTTGTATAAAAATCGGAACGAACTTTTTTTAACTCAATATTGCTGAATGATAATTAAATAATTCTTTGTAATAACTGGAAAAATTTTGTTCCACTTGCATCTTCCTTTTCTGTTTCATACTACTAAATAATGACTGTTGTAGCGCGTTAGGTAATGCAGATTCAAATAACCTTGGAGAATCTCTCCAGAGAGCCTTGAACGAGAAACCTAGATGGACACAGCCTAAATGTAGAGAACCCGTGAAAGAAGTAATGCAGGAGTGGCTGGAAAGGCCGGGATATCCAATGGTGACAGTTAAAAGAGTCGAAGAAGGTTACCAGTTGACGCAGGAACATTTCGTGATGGCGATGATAAAAATCGACGAATTCAACACGAAGTGGTGGATACCAACCACTTATGTCGAGGAATCGGATCCCAATTTTAACAACACGTATCCCGCCGATTGGATTGATCCAAGCGAGGAATCACACATCGTACACTCTAAGCAAAAAGAGGGATGGTTCATTTTCAACACGCAACAAGCAGGTACGCTGCAAAGTTTTGTAGAACATTTGAAATTAATAATTAAAAATGGACACTTCATTTTGAATCGAATGTTTAAGAGTTTTAATATAAGAAGTGAACAATTACACAGTTCAACAAAAAACATTTTTTCATTTTTTGCAATCCACTACGTGATTCTTATAGAATTTCTCATATCAAAAACAAATCTAGAAGCAGAATGGTTCGATACGTATCTTTTTCGAGAAATAGTGCGGAAAAGCATGATTTCATGAGGCCAAGATGAATGCCTTTACACAAGTTTCTTTCTTCTCAACGTTATTTTATTTTCGGCGACAAGTTTTTATCGTTACTAATAATTTTTTATTGAAAATGTATATTTCTCTCTTTTGCACTTCATATTTGATATTGATAGGCATTCAGATACATTAGTGACAGGATTTTAAAGTGATCTCTGAGTCCGAAAATTTGAATTTACAAATTAAGTATGAAATTTATTTTTGCCCATATTATTGGCTTGTGCTGCAAATATATACTTAAGTCTAATGTTTTAAATCATAAAACGTAATCGCTAATAATTATATCGGTGATGCTCAGAAAAAGTTTTGAAAAGTATTCATCTTTTCATACCATTTACATTGCATAAAATATATTTTTCCTATCATCGCAAATAAAGGAAATAGATGGTTATAATAAAGTCGGTAGAAGAGTTTTAACGAGGTCGTAAGTCATCATAGAAATTAGTGTTCGGGTCACCCGCTCAGAAACGTTTTCATATTTGAAGGAAAGGTATAATGAGGTTGTAAAATTCGCCCATCATGAAATGCATCATAAAAATGAGTAACTGATAACTATTGCGGTTACCGATCTAAGATCGTTTTTACCAAACATGAAAATACTAAAGAGTAAAATAGTTTTTCTGAAATTCCCAGCTGCGACATAATGGAGGCTTCCGACCATCGGGAATTTCTAAATTTGCGAAGAAAGCGATCAGAATTTTTAGAATTCTCTTCATTCGTAATGGAGCATTCGGATTTTCGAGTGTGAACATTCAGGAAGAAATAATCACAGTCCTAGAATGGTGGCAATAAAATAGACACATCAAAATACATGTCATTATACCACACTTCACTATTGCTCACTTACATCATTCTGAAAAACCTCAGCTTTCGCGATACGATCGAACTTAAGTACTTATTCTTAAAATGAAACTTAACCCTTTCGGTACGGAGGGGCTGGCCGCGGTTATACATTCGTGGGACGAGGAAGTTTTCCAGCCGGGAAAAGCCGGGAATTTTAAACACAGAATAGTAAAGTAATGCGTACTATAGAGAGTAATCATACCCACATACTTTACGTGGGTGCCACTAGGCGGCAGTGGTAGCACCCACATAACTTTCTAAGGATGCCGCCAATTGGCGACGGTAGGACCCAGAAAATGTTTAGTGGATGCCGCCAATTGGCGACGGTAGGACCCAGAGAATGTTTAGTGGATGCCGCCAATGGGCGACGGTAGGACTCAGAGAATGTTTAGTGGATGCCGCCAACGGGCGGCAGTAGTACCGAAAGGGTTAAAGCAAAGGACCAACATCAAGTCTAAAGAGCAGGGCACCAAGTAAGTTTACTGACTCCATCTTACCCGTCTTGAGAACTAAATTCTACTTAAAATTATTGTTGGTATATCGCGCACAACTCATTTAATACAGTAAAATTATAAAACGGAACAATAACATAGGACTTTATTCGAGAACACAACAAGAAAGTCCGATGACACGTCTGAAACTTTCGAGGTCTTGCGCTGTTCTCCCGTTCAAATAGTTGCCGGTTCGTCAATAGCAACCGGAAACCGGGTCCTCGCTTCCGCTCGTTTGCAGGGGTAGCTTCACATCGTTGCGAGACATCTTCACGCTGTCGGAACGCGCGGCATGTCCCATCCGTCACAACATTATTTTTCATGTATTATTTGTCATTTTTTTGGTAGCTAATCTGTAGAATTGTATAAGAGGTGTAATTAAATAACGGGACTGCGCACTTTCCACCATGCAACAGCATGGGGTGAGGTTGTCATTAGTAGATCATTGATTTTGATGCTTCCCGAGCTACGATTCCTAGTTTTGTCTATCTGTCTGCTTCTGTTTCTTTTTTTCTAGAGGTCACTGTTGCATTGCAGTGCCGCGATTATGGTTGATGTAAAAATCGAGCTGTTACCGTAGCGAATTAACCTTGTAAAATTAAAAAAATCGTCACCAGAATGTTTGTAATTGTTAAAGGAGGTACATGATGATAATGTAATGTCACGTGCGCAAGTTTTTGAATGACACAAACGGTTTTCTGAATCGCGAATGAGCAAATCGAAATCGGGGGCAATGTTGATCGTTTCTTTCGATATCAAAAGTGTTATTATGATTGACTGGATGCCTGAAAGTCAAATCGTTCATTAGAAATATTGATTACAAAGAAGTCCTAATCAAGCTGAGGGAAAGAGTAAGGAAGAAAAGACCGGATTTAAGAAAGAACAACTCATGAATTGGACATGGAAGACAACGGACCAGTCCACAATGCCCTATCTATGAAGCAGTTTTTAGCACACAAGCGCATTCCTGTGCTTGGTCATCCTCCGTGCTCGCCAGATCTCGTATCATATGATATCTACCTATTCCTAAAAGTCAAAAGTGCATTGAAGGGAACACATTTTTAGAACACTGTTGAACATGTAAAAACAGAAACGGCAGAATTGTTGAAGAGGCTGACAACTGATGAGTTACAGCATTATTTTGAACAATGGAAGGTATATGCAGCGGTGGATAGATACGAGAGTATGTTGAAAGGGATAAAAGTTACATCTAACTTTATTTGCACTAAATCACATTTCTCACATCAGTCTCGTTGTTTAATTGCCACACTTCGTAGTTCGAGAAACAAATATTCCGAGGTCGTAATCTTTACCAAGTACCTAGAATTTATAATGCGAGTAATCTTTTTTCAGAGTAGTTAGGCTTTTCGAGGCTCCTCGAGCCTCGTTCAGGTCTGTTCGATGCTAATTGAGAATCAACCTTTCAATGTACGGCTGAATTCTGCGCGAGGCTATAAATATTGTATATACTTTAAGGACGTTTGTCAGAGATTTTGAAAATGTTGAAAAATTCTGAAAAAATTATATGTTATTCTTGGAATAAAAAAAATGAACTGTTATCTTTTTCAGAATTTTCTACCGTTTTATTATTAAGAAAAATGAATGAGAATATTAGAAATTTAACATGCATTCTTATGGAGACCAAAGTTTATTATAAGAAATAAGTACTTTTTAAATGTACAAATACAAAATAAATGTTATCATCGGATAAATTAACATTTTTTAAATCGTTTAACGAAAGATTGACGAAACTGACCGTTCATTTCTATTCTAAAATTATTAATAAAAACGTAATAAACAGTTTTCGTGTCAGTTGATCGTTAAAATTTCGCAACATCGCTTTCTAGTAAAGCGATGTAAATTTAGCGGTAGGTTTGAACTATCGAATTTTAGATAATGGTACTACGCTACATAATAATTAACGTGGCAAATTGGATAAATGAAATAATGATTACAATTCGATTTATAATTAAGTAATTTTTCGTCCCATTTGTTGAAGATGTTTTATCTTTTTTTTTGCTCGAAAATTTTCCTTTCAATCGTAATTGTGACATTTTGAGGTACGGATTCACAATAAGCAATTTCAATTTGAAAATCTCAATTGCCAACTGTCAAATACTAATTTATCTTAAGTCGTGCTGTTGCCAAGTTTCTTTAAGATTTTTACATAATTTCAATGTGAATATTATTAGAAATTTCTTAATAAAAGAAATTATATTTAATCAAAGAATAAATTTTAAATATTTTACTATTCACGTATGTTATCTATTTATGTTTTTAATGCTTTTGAATAGTTGATATATTAAATATATGATGTTGGCATTACTCGATTTTTACAATGTATAAGAATAGGAGACCCCCCGCACCGCTTACCCTTCTAAAACTCTAACAAACGTCCTTAACTATAATAATTCTCTTAATAATTAATAATACAATTGGGTATGATATATTTTAGTTCAGACGGTTAGTTTAAACACTGTTTTAAATCGATGTGAAGACAAAAGGAGTGTGAAACAATGCATATGAAGACGATTGTTTAATTCAAACGGCGAGTGAGCTAATAAAATGAGTCACTATAGTGGCGTGTGTCGTTCTGAAAGATGATATCCGTGAAAGCCACTATAATGGCGCGTCATGTCTAAGAGTTTAATTTTGTTTTCAACTGTATTTTGAAAAGTTTATACTCATGAAGTGGGTAGCAATATAGAATTTCTTTAACGAGGGCAGGTGGGCACAAGACATCCAGCAGGGACCGCTCTACTTGTAGTGTGGTAATGCCTGTTGTTATTGACGACTCAATAAAAAACTACGTCCCTGTCCCGCGCCCGGTATCTGTTTTCACATTACTTCGGATAGAGTCTTTGGCAGTAGCTGGTTTGGTCTTCTTTAATTGATCGGTGTTACGTCTACCGCCAGCTTCTTTCGTAATCTTCTCAGTACTCCAGACATCGATCCACGTTTCTGGAGCGCAATACTTCCTTCTTGAAACTATCCAGTGGGTATCAGTTTCTCTCCTCGAGAAGCATTTTCTGAACAACTGCGTCTGGGATGAGTCGGCCTATTGTTTGTTCGACTTCTGCTCTTTCCTTCAGTTTTCCTGTTGCTCCAACGGGGGCACTCGAAAAAGATGGTGCCTTTCGCGGTCTCGCAAATATTTGCAGCTCGGCGTCAATACTCCTCCCATTCTGTGTAGATATTCTCTGAAGTATCTATGCCCCCTCAGCAACAGGATTAGATATGCCGATCAGCCGGTGAGTTCACCTGCCCCTCGTTTCCGCCTCCCATCTCTCCTGCCACAGCTCGAATGTTCTGATGCGCTCGTCTTGTGCTGCGTGGAGTCTGCCAGTTGTTGTGCTACGATCATAAATGTGCTTTTTCTTCTGTGCTAATAAATCAATGGGTGGAATAACGGCAACAACCGCGTTGGAAACCGTGCAACTGGCTACGTGTAGAGCTCCTGTGCGCTGCAGTCACCAGGCGCCTCCTTCTTTTGATTTGTAGCGTTCGCCCACACCTCAGCTCCATACAGAAGTATTGAGTGCATGTTTGCCATAAGCAGCCTGCGCTTAGGGTTCTAATATTCGCCATCAATCTGCTCAGGGATGCGACACTTTTTGCTGCCTTATCGGCAACTCTCTCTATGTGGGGCCAAAAAGTGAATTTAGAGTCCAGCATAACTCCATGGTACCTTACGACGCCTGAAGATCGTCGCCTCCCTGACCTGAAAACAAATCCTTTTCATCGTAAGGAGCACGATGTCTGTCTTTTCAAGAGCTAGCCGTAATCCGTGTCCTGTCATCCATTCAACTACTCTAGTCATTACCAGGGTCAGTTCGACCGATCTGGCCTCGATCACTACAACCACATCATCAGCATATCCCAGAAGAGACTCGCTCTTCAGCATTGTACAGGGCTTTCTACAGGTCCGGTCCCAGTATCGAGCTGTCTTTCACTCAGAAGTTAGTGCTTTATTGACATTCGAGAAAAAATATTGGGCATTCTATTTAGATAATTGTATGCACCCCTCATACTTTGATGGAGAAGCAAAGAAACGAAAAACAGATTATAGCACTACGTGTTGCCCTACAAGTCATGTGTAAGGGTTGTTTAAATCAAGATAACTTCACTCTGGTAATTAATTGTTAATATATAAGTATTGTAATCAAAATTGGAAAAGGTACATAATGAGATGTTGTCTTGAGGAGGATCGATCTCATTATACTCTCATACCAGACCAGACTAATTCACACTTGAACGCTTAGCCCTATGCTCAGCACGAGAGATGACCTAACGTCATTCCTGTGTGCCACACAGAATTCGTGGGGTCTCAGTTTTCGAAAGCACTCACACCATCAAATGTAAATACTCACTACAAACGCAACATTTATTTAAAAACTTTTTGCATACAATAAATAACTTAGAAGTTATTTGAAGTCATGTTAGAAGATTCATCCTGTATTGTGGAAAGTCTCGTTTATCTATTGATTAAAAAATGAACGTCCATGCACTCATGTAATATCTCATTTTCTCCCAATCATGCATTCTTAGAAAATCCGTTATTTTGTGCGAACGTACATGATAAAGCATTTCTGATTCCGGGTTCGCTTTTGTCACGAGAAACTCTATAAGAATTACGTAATAGATATTGGGAAAAAATATTTTATGTGTTCAGTTACCTTATGTTATATTTACCTTATGTAATTGACGTATATCAACTTAACAGAAGTATTAGATGAATATCGGATGATGTATGTATTCGTATTTCGTTTTACTGTTCTCAAATGCTCACTGATCGATTCATAAGGTAAATTAACAAAAACCCCCCTAGTAACTGTGTAGAAACAATCAATACTCTCTAAGAACTAAAATAGCAGATATAATTAAAGGAAGATGTATCTGTGTCAGGTTACTATCGCGTGAACTATGATGAGAAAAACTGGAAATTGTTGACGAATGAGCTGAACATGGGAAGCGCTACCAAGATACACGTATTGAATCGTGCCCAGTTGATCGACGACGCGATGAACATAGCTCAAATTAAACGCTTGAACTACACGATCGCACTGGATTTGACCCTCTACTTAAGGCACGAGACCGATTACATACCCTGGGTCACGGCGTTCAGACATGTGCACTTTCTGCAGAACGTGCTCCGCACCTCCAACAAATATTACCTTTACAAAGTAAGGACTGCAAATGCAAAATCGATGATACAGAATAACATATAAAGTGTTTCTACGGTGAACGCGAAATCATTACGAGAGTTACTTGTTGCCAGATCGCAGATGTTTATACATTTATGGGAATTTTCAATAATTTAAAGTAAAACAGTATATCATAATACGTACAGGGTGTCCCAGAACTTATGGTACATTTTCTAATGGGAGGCTCCTGAGATTTAAACAATATTTTCCTTCGTTAAAATGTTGCCTGAGGCGTGGTTGTTGAGTTATTAACAATAAACCTCGACCAATCAGAACGTTCGTATTGCGGGCGGCCAGGAGTGCGCAGACTGCCTTGGACGTTGCCGTGCCCATACGTCGCGCTCGTGACGAGAGCAAAGGATTAAAGAAAAGTTGCATGCAAAAACGAACTAACAAATTGATTAAATGTCAGAGGAAAGAAAGCGATTAGTCGTTACTTACGTTCACTGAACAAATGTAACATACTCAACAAAATTACTAACAACTTTACAAATTATAGGGTAGGTAGAATTATGAATAATGCAAAAATAATCAGAGTTGAACTTACTCCTTCGTCGGTAAGTGTAGCTGTTCCTAGAAGAACATTAATGGGTCTATGGCTCAGCCTTCGGCACTCGAAAATAGAATGCAATTGAAAATTTGCATACACGTTTTTATTTTAATTGTTATCTCCGAATACTGTTCTCTGAACAATCCCACTGCTGCTATTGGATTATAACCTATTTACACGTAACTAACGAACATATTAAAATGTTCTACGTTTGCTAGGGCACACATCGTTCTGTTTAGTAACGCAAGGTAGAACTGAATGACCGGTTGCTCCGAGATTGTCTTCAAGACAATCTTTTCTTACATGATGGATAAGTTCGTTAGGAACAATGTGTTTGTATTTTTCAACTAAACCCAATCTTCATTTCCTTGTCATCTTTAAGAATTCCCCACGTGCAGAACACTCAAATCTATAACGAAAAGCAGTTCCTAGACTTGCACTTACTAGATGCTAACGCCGAATTGCTTGTTGTCACTCTGCAGGGCGCATGCTTGCCGAGTCCCTGGCATAAAATCGTAAAAAGGACGGTAACACTGCCTCTCAAAAATTCAGCGCAGAAAAGGATTTCCTTCTACGTTTCATATAACTACTGCTAAATGTGATGCACACTCCCGAGTCATATTCACGTAATGAGTAATGTAAATTCTTCCATTGCAAAAATATTTTTAGCTTAATTGCAATGGAGTTAGAAATACAAATATCTTACATTGCTCATTGCAATCGTACTCAATTAACTAATTGAAATGTGCTACAGTTATTGTGAAATTAAGGTATATGACTAGCGGGTGTGCATTACATCTTGCAGTAGTTATACAAAACATAGAAGGAAATGTTTTGCAGCGCTCAATTTCTAGGAAGCAGAGTTTATTGTTGCCAATATCCTTTTAAGGGTAATCGAAGAGAGTCAGAGTTTTTTTTTTACAATTTTATGGAAGTGTCTCGAATACCGTGCACCTAACAGAGTGTGTACGACAAAAGGCAAATTCAGGCGTTCGTATCTGGTAAGTGCATATTTCGATACTGTCTCTTTTCATCGGTTTGAGTGTGAAATGCCTACGGATGACCTAAAAACTAAGGTCGAATTTAATTTAAAAAACACATTTTACATACAAACACATGTTCTCTAACGAACTTGTCCACCGAGTGGGGAAAGATATTCTTGAAGAAAATCTGGGAGCTCCTGATCATTCGGTTCTGTCTTGCGCTACTAAACAGAACGCTGCGTGCTGTAACGAACGCGGAATATTTTAATGTATTCGCTATTTACGAGTAATGGAATTATAACTCAATATCAACAGTGGAAATGTTCCGGGTACAGCATCGCGGCCGGAGCCAAAAATTAAAATAAAAACGTGCAAATTTTAAAGTGTAAAGTACAAAACGACAGTGAACTTGCGTAAAAGTAACAATTTTTGTTTTGTGGAAGTTTGCCAATGAGATTGTGACAATGATCGCGTAAGTAAAGAATCGTCAGATGCTGGTCACTGACCTGCTCCAAACATCAGCTGTTGCGAACCGTGTGTATCTATCTTCGAGTGCCGGAGGTCGTCCTATTCATCCATTGATGTCCTTCTAAAAGCAGGTGCACTTGCCGACAAAAGAGTAAGTTTAACTCGAATTGTTTTCCCAGTTTTCATAATTTTGCAATCATGTTTACGTAATTTATAAAGTTATTAGTTATTCGTATGTTACACTTATTCATTGAACGTAATTCCTTTGTTTTCTGTAATATTCAACAATTTGTTAGTTGTATTTGCATGCAACTTCTTCATCTTCATTTTTCATGACGAGCGCAAAGGATGGGCGCGGCAACGTCTGTGGCATTTATCACGCTCCTGGCCGCCCGCTAAGTTTGTTGTTGGTACATCAAAATCTAACAATAATGAAATATTGTACTCTACTGTAAGAACCGTAACGTCGAAAAATACGTACTGCCCGGGAAAATTTTGTGTTCGAAAGACGCATCTGCCGTAAGATACAATGCCGCAGTAGAAAGTTGTAGGTATAGGGAGAAGCATGAAAAAGCATGAGAGCCTCAGAAGGCACCGACGACACCAACTCCAGAATGTATAAGATACTGAAATTTGCAGCGTTACGTGGCATATCTGATGAGGGGTTTGACGGAGCATGTGGGTTATGAACCGAAGGCAGGAGAGAGCGAACTCATTAAAATATTCAGAGAACAAGCATTTCCATGGGCCTGCGAATTTGGCGTCAAGAGCTGCATAAGCTATGCTGAGAAACAATATCATCACTGGCTCGAGAACCCTAAAGGGCAGTAAGTCATAATTTTATTTTCTGGTAATTGGTAATTTCTTATGCTCTACCTTCTATTAATGGAACAACATAAAACCTCGAATTTTTATGAAAAGTCTTGCTATTATATGTGGAAGCAGAATAGTTAATTGAGATTGCATGATGGTTTGATTTCATAAGAGCAGGACATTGCATATAAGCAAGACCATAACATCCCAGACTTAAGTTTTGCCTTTTCAAAGAAGTACTTGATGGGCCAAAAATCTTCCCATATGAGGACGTGAAATGTAGTCCCGTTAATCCATATTTTGCATTATTTTTATCTGGTTATCAATAAGGAAGAGAAAAGAACATCAAAATTTTACCCATAAATGTCAGAAAAGATACGTGACTATTCTAGCCCCATTTTATAAAATTCATTAAATATTTCATTCCTAAGACTTTTACATTGCGTCTTGTGAGAAACTAAGCTATTCATGTGATCAGTGTGAAATACTTGACAACCAAATATTGCTGGAAATTCTTTATAAAGTACCAAATATCCACTAAGAACAGTTTATTCGAAAGTCATTTTTCAATACATACTATGAGAGTCTAAATAAATGATTTACCCAAATGCAGCAACATAAATGGTTTCTTTCATAAACTGTAATGTAAAATACGCAAAAATAACATTTTTAATCAATTTTCTCTTAGGTACCCTTAGTTTTGAAAAATTTAACTACGTATATTTAAAAGCTTTACCTAACAGTACACCAAAGTATGATTATTAAGTCTATTAACGATAGGATTCCTTAAGGGTCCTACCCAGTGTGACCGCCCGAAATTTAGGTGACTTTTGAAATTTTTTTGAGAGAAGCATACCATGGAATGTTTTTGAACTTTATCGGTGTAGTTGCCTATGATTGAAGTGTACGAATTTATTTTTTAGTACAAAAATAACGAAAGGCGACCGAGTTACCTCCCGAGACACCAAAAAAAGTGCCTAAATTGCTGCAATGATACAGGTTGCTACGGTGCCCGAAAAAAAAGAAAAATATCCTGTTAAACTAGAAGGTTGTGATTTAATGAAATCGAATGAACTAGGATATCCAAGAAATGTTAAGATCTGACAAAATGGCGGAGACTTTAAGAAATTTTTCGATTTTTCCTTAAAAAAGTTGTCGTTTTTTTGTTGTTAAAATTACAATTTTTATCTAATCAAGAATATCCTAGTTCACTTTACAATAAAGCATGTCCAAAACACTGTTAAAATTTCAAGTCAATCGGACAATTGGTGTTTGAGTGAGAACTGCAGCAAATTTGAAAAACACTGTTTCGAGATAAGCGCGTTTAAAGTATTAACTATTACATTATTACTTATATTGTACTAGCTGCACTCGGCGCGCCGTTTTTACCTCGAACCCACCGCCCATTCAGCAGCTCTACTGGCTGGCACTTTACGTGCATGTCTGGTTGTTCTCCCAATGTTTGACTTTTTGGGTGGCATTTCAAATAATTTCCAGTAGCTAGTATTTAGTGACAAATGAGGCATGAAATGATATTTTAGTTGTGTGTGATTTAAATACCAATTTTCATGGCGATCGGTTGAACGGTATAGAAGTCTGTGGCGAAAACAGTCCCTAGACAGTGTCACGTGGATAATTTGTTATAGGAATAAATGAACTAAGAAGGTGGTTCGATACTTTACGACAAACGGTAAAGTTCGCTTAACCTTGTTCTTTATTTCCAGATTCCTTAAGACTGATGGTTTCACATGTTGTAAGGGTTTATATAGGGTTTGAGTTTTTGAGTGGAAGGGGTTTAGACTTTGAGTAGTTTTGGTCATAGCTGTTGTGTCATAGTTTGATCTGTGTCACGGGTCCTATGTCCTATGTGCAGTAGATAGGGCTGCTGTGTCATAGTTTGGTCTATGTCACGGGTCCTATGTCCTATGTGTAGTAGAGATAGCTTCTTGTCGGGTGCGTCACAACAGGGCCACGACACGTAAGGTTTAGTTAGCTAGTAAGTTTTGTTGTTGCTTCTTTCGAATCCATTTTTCGAATTCTTTAAATGTTTTTCACGAACTTCACTTCCCGGGTTTCGGCACCAATTTATGTGGGGAGAGCTTGTGATATTATCAAATAAATACCCCAGTGTTCTTTCTGGTCGTTTATTGCACCTCACAGTACGAATCGTTTTTACAGAATAAAACCACGAGGCATCTCGAGGTATCTCTTTGTGGTCGGTTTTTGTCCGTTACCGAAAAGGGGAGGTAAACTTAAAAACTAATCTTACCAACTAAGCAACAACAAAACTTACCAGCTAACTAAATCTAATGTGTCGCGGCCCTGTCTAGGGACCATTTTCGCCACAAGTCTATGTGCTGCAGCTCCATCAGGTGGCGAGTTACAACAAATTGGATAGCGCGAACATATTCTCCGTGCTCAAATACTTAAGTATACGAGTTTTTATGACGATCGATTGAACGGTATAGAAGTATGGCGCGTGGGCCATAATTATTAGATCGGCAAATGAACAGGTAGACTAGCTTTTGTTACAAGGAACATTTATACCGAAATGGTGAAAGGCGCGAGCACGTGCGTGCGCGTAATGGTGAACCTCGTGTTCGCATTAACAATGTACTTGCCACTTAATACTAGCGGTTGTATATGCGATAATTAATATTATAAAATTATGTAGAGAGAGTCTTTAATGGAGATTATTATTAACAATAATCTGCGAGAACGGATGCGCGTTATACTCAACGATGCTACCGGATAACTCGGAGTATTAGAAACGCGGCTGAGCGTGAATGTCTCGGTTGAACGTCTCTACAAGACTGTGTGTCTAACGGAAGGGAGATTTTAGCAGCTAGCCGGAAACCTAGACTGCCCAACGCAAGAGCGGCAAAACTGCCTATCAATGTTGACGCAGCGACGCCACAGAAGTTTGTGTTGCAGCGCCATCTATATTTGATAGCGTATAAACATTCTCCATGAAGAAATACATATATGTGCCGAGTTCCATGTGGATCGGACAGTTTCGGAACCTATGAATCATATACAGGGTGGGGCACGTAAAGTGTTACAGAGCAATATCACTCAAACTAACAATCATATCTCAAAATGCTTCATACAAAAGTTTCAGTGTTTGAGAGGGCCGCCATACTGGCGCACTATATTTTTTTACTGGTGGAGGCGCTGAAGCTACGCTAAGGTCACCGCCAACTTTTTAAATGGATCGGTATATTTTTGCTTCCGTATCATGATAGAGAATCTTAAAACGAATTCAACGACCTATAACACAAGGACATTGAAGGTCATATAAAGCGGAAAAAGGCGATAATACTTACGGTTTTTGTAATAGATTACAGTGTTTTAATCGTAATCTCCTTTTTTTATAACCTCTTCCTTCTATCCCAGGTAGTTGTAAGTTTGATTGCTTGAATAACGAATCTTGTCAGTTGGGAAAAAAATAATGTTGAAATAAAGAGGAAGACAAAAAAATATTTTTTGTGAAATTGCTTTTCTTTGAACCTTTCCTTGAGCTTTAGATCATAAATTTGTCCTTAAGAAAAGAAATCGTAGTAGCTATTATTTACGTTTTAAATTAGAACTTCTGACACCGATACAGGACGACACACGAGCGGAACTTATGCAAGAACAATCGACATATATGTATGCATAAAGATTACAAATATTTAAATACATACAAATATTTAAAAATAATTTTCAAGATTTTACTCCATTCACCCTCTAATATGATGAGAAGGTGTAAAACGTGTATTTGCAAAGTTCTGTTTTGATGTTTCATGATTTTTTTTCATGATATATTTATATTCTGTACATTTTCAGTCCTGTGCATGATGATTAGTGCAGGCGGAGCCGTGACGGGAATGCTAGTAAACTACATACCAATATCAGTTTAAAAAATGTGTTCTATTCAGAAATTTCTTTTATCTTGTAAACATTGCAATATGCACATTGCATTTCTATACACTAATGTTTTTATTTTTTGTATATTCAATTTTTCAAATTTTATGAGCTGCACACGAACCTCTTTATTTCATTGAGAAATCATGCAGTAAAATCAGTGTTATTCTAGCTATACAATGTCCGGAAAAAGTTACTCCAAACAAAGTATATTTTCTAAAACCCAGTTTCTGTTCTGTAGGGATATGAGCAGAGATGCCAGGTTGAGGACGGGAGCCACCGAGAATCTGCCCCTCCACTTACACTATCGCACTGTATCCGTGTGCTCCGAGCTCGGCTCAACTTCGGCTCAGTAGAAAGAGAAGGCGAAACATCAGTCCGTCACTTTTGCTCCTGATGCGTTAAAACCCAAGCAACACGTAGCCGTCAGTCGGCGTCAGGATCAAGAGCGACGGACTGATGTTTCGCCTTCTCTCTCTACTGAGCCGAAGTTGAGCCGAGCTCGGAACACACGGATACAGTGCGATAGTGTGCGTAAGTGGAGGGGCAGATTCTCGGTGGCTCCCGTCCTCAACCTGACATCTCTGGATATGAGTCTAGGAATAACGCTCACTTAATGTGAATCACGTTTATTCACTATATATTTCTAAATGCAATGGGATGTTAATTTGTTACTTCGATACAGAACCACATGTGACGTTTTGAAGTTAACGAAAAATAAAACATGCGTTGTAGATGTCGTTAGGAAAAACAAGCTCTTAGTCATGGATTCAGATATCCTTAAGTCTGTGCCCGCAGTATAGCGCGTATAAAATTAATATACATTGCATAAAAATGAAAATATAAACTCCCTATTTTAACATGTTTACGTCAAAAATTCTACTCACTGACTTTTTCCCTATCATTTTATATGTAATAATAAACCAGTGAGTAGTAATTAGGCCATATACTGTACTGCTTCAAAAATGAAATTCAAAATCTGAATAAGCATAAAATATCCGTAAAAATTTACGCGCGTATTCTTTGATTTTACTTGTCGAGTTGAAAGGTGCATTATAATTGGAATAAGATAAAAGGAATTAATAGTATACAGTGTACCAAGAGCGAAAAATGAGCTTTTTTAGACCTAGTGTGGAGTTTGCAGTACGAGTCGAGGCGGGTTAGCATGAGCCGAACGCGAGTGCATTTGTGAGCCGAAGACGAGTAAAAAGCTCACTTTACGCGCTTGGTACACAATATACTATTTAATAATCATTAAAGTTGTTTAACTACTCTCCCTACTTTATTTCGAGAGAATTTCTACTGTTATATCTGATTTTCAACTATTTCAGAGCTTTACCATGTGTCAATCATGAATATATAACACTATTCTTTATTATCTTCTGAGTACTCATTATTATAGATGAAATATATTTCTAATATAATTAATTACTATTGTACAAAATTTCAAAATCCTCACTCTATTTATTTATTAGTTTCTTTTCAATTTAATGCAGTGTATTCCACTCCACTAAACACAATAAGATCGCATTGATATAACTCCAAAACTAGCTTGCTAATTTCCGACTTTAACATGCAATATGTAGACCGTCGCTCTTCGTGCAAAATAAACTATTTATAGGAATGTCTTAAATAGAATTTTTTTTATCTTTCGCAGAATACACTTTGCATTTACCATTCTATATATGTATTTCTATTTATTAGTGTTTACAAGTATATTTTTTGTATATCAAATTTCCTTATAAATGCATAAAATTGGCAGTGCAGAGACAATTATGTGATAGGAAATCAATGTTGCATTCATATCTTTTGATAAATAACTTTTTCCAACAAATTTTTAACATAATCTTGTGTACAGATTGGACCCTGGACTGATGAACGAAATTCTGTGTGCTGGAGTGAGAAACGCGAACGTAAACGTGTGGCATAAAACTAAGGAGCTTTTAATAGCATCTACGAACGATGCGGAAGAAAGGAAGGAACGGATGTTAATCTTAACCTGTTCCAACTCGCCTATCATTCTAATAGAATTCTTAAAGTCAACCTTCGATAAGAACTCCCCGATTGATTTCCTGACCGCTGTACAACACGTGGTGGGTAGCTATCCGCGTGGTCCTCAGCTGGTGTACAATTTCTTGATCAAAGAATACAGAGAACTCGAGAAATTGTAAGTAACTTCATGAATTTATTTCTTTTCGCCATGGTCATTGTTATCTGTATTAAAGATTGTATGAGTCGTGAGATCTCTGCCAAAAGTTTAAGAAATATCACCAAAAGTTATGTACAATATTTGAAACGATAAACCTTTAGGAAAAATGGTATTAATAAAGGAGTAAGGTTTATAAAATTACTCGACGTGTTTTTTCAAGTCATAAGAAATTTTTAACGTTCAATTTATACCATTCTAATACATGGTTCTGGCACTTTTTGATAGAATTGTATTCGACTTAGTACAATTTACAAGTCCTACCGTCCTTGCTTTTACTTATTTTGTATCGTGTCTTAAATATTACCTTCGACGTTCATATTATTTCAACTCTAAAATGTTCTGAATAAATGTGTTATTATTTATACAAAATTACAATATTCTCTCTTATTGCAACTATATCTTTACATAATTGAAATCAAAATTTCGCCATTGGACATAAGAATTTAAGATTTACTGACGTATTCAAGAGCCTTGCAAAATGTCAAAACGTTTGCACAGTGTTCTCTTAATGTAATACTTAAAAATTCTTAAAACTTGAGTGCTATATCACTATTTTTATTTAAGGCCTCATCCAATCTTAAAAGAAAAATGAAAACAATGCTAAATGGCTGTGACATAAGAGTGTGAATCTGTATCTAATATAACTGATGTAATTTTTTCACTTCGCGGTTTCAGAGAGAATTTCCACGATATGATACCAATGGTTGCATTGGCGATTGGTGGAGGAATTACGGACATGCAACTATATCTTAATGTAAGTTTGATTCGATATCCAATTCTTCTAAAATCACATCTTATTATATGTCTTCGTCTGATATACACAGAGCGATCTACCTAAATATAGCCATTTCAATATCTTTTTGATTTGCAATATTAGAGATAGGGAGCCCTAACTTGTCCGGAATTAAATTGGGACGAGTGACGAGGCAAAATTAGACTCTATTAAAAAAAAAAAACGCTCCGCGAGGACGGCGAGGGGCTGATTGGGGCTGCAGCTTCCGGTCGCCGGGAATTTTCCGTCCGGCGTCGTGTCCGGTGGTCGGCAGGCCTCCCTGGCCCTTTTCTAATGATGACATGTCCACTCCTGTTCGGGGCGCCTGTCTCTCTTACGGTCACTGGAATTGAACAGAATGATTAGTATCGAGCGTACGGTTATGAACTCTCGTATGCCGTTCGATTGCTCAATGGAACAACAGTGTAGCATACCGTATGTGGCGGAGGTATCAGCTCTCCTCTTCGGTCTTTCGGAATCCTCCGAAACAAGACCGTTCGTTTTTTTGCGTTGAATGATCAACTGGAGTGGAATATCGCGCCCACCGTTCACCTCCAGTTGCATCTTCTAAGGGTGGAGATTCAGGAAATGAACCTCAAGTCTCGGTCTTATGCTCAGCTGGAAGTTTCTTATCCGCCAGACCAAAACCCGGAGTGGTGAACTACAGTTGTCGTATCACAACTGCCGAACCGATTATCGGACGGCATGCAATGGAGGGTACCGTCTCAGCAACAAAAATACTCTGTAAAGTGTGCAACACGATTGTACAGGGGCACCTGTCACAATTGCGGCTTCTTCGCGAATTCGGTGGCTGCTCTTCTCGTATGTCCGCAATCTGGACCCCTCGAAACATCCGTTGAGTCGCACGCACTTGATAGACGAATGTGTCCAGCTTATCTTCTGCTGGCAGGTATGATGTCTCTCGAAAATGCCTTCCTCGATCTTTCTTCTGCCACGGTCAGTCGACGACTCAGGGTGAAACGGTGTCTATTCGCGCGCCCGGATTTAAACCGAAAAGGCGGATGGAAAAACAAACCTTTCCCTTTTTAAACAACAATGATAAGGAAAATATTTTTTATGCTATGTAAATTGTATCAGAAAATGAATGCTTGCAAGAGGACATTTTGTTGTAAGTATTTAGCGTCACTAATATTTTTTGCTTGTAAATTCATATTTTTCTCTTTGTATATTATAGTTGATATTAAAACGCATTTAAATACAGGGTGTAAACCTACTAGTAGGCAATATTTTAAG